AGGCTGACAAAGGAGCTCTATGAAAAACTAGTCGATCAAGGCCAAATCACGGAGGAGCTGATGGGAGAAATGGAGCAAGAAAATCAAAACCTGACCAAGAAAATCAAAGAGTAAACTCAATTAAACTTTTTTGTTTGGTTGGTTGGTTGTTGTTTTTTTACAGAAACCGTGACATTAAAATGACAAGAAATCTAGTTTCTATAACGAGCATGATGTTTCTCTTGAAGAGCTGTTTTATCGTTTTTCAGGTTAAAAGAACAGATAGAAAATGAGAAGACATCAATTGAAAGGAATAAAGAACTCATGCGGCAGAAAGATTTAGAAGAGAAAAAAGTTAAGATTATAGAAATGGTGAGTGATTAGCCTTAAGCGTGTTTATTACAGTTCTGGCAGACACCAGATTTACTTGCACTGATGCCTGTTGTTTGACGTTGTTCCGTGTAGGAAGATTATCTGGAGAAGATGAAGGAGGAAAATCAACAGCTGGCTGTTGAGGTACAGGAAGATTTCTCACAAACAAAGTGTTGAGAGATACTGACATCTGCTAAGGGCTTGGTAAATTCTGACACAGCATTAAAGACTGCAGGGAACAACATCATATAAACATGTAACCAGGGCTGAGCCACGACTCAGTTCCTCTAGACTAGCCAGCAGCAATTAGCAAACACCTGGTGGAACTGTGTTGATGTCATTATACTCAGTGAAACACTGGCAAAAATGTTATTAAAGGGTTAATAGAGGAGTGACTTGATGACTTCCTGAAGGCGGAGTTTCAGAAAGAGCAGGAGCTTTTAAGGAGGGAGAGGCCCGATTTTAAGGCGCTAAATTTTTTAAAACTGTTTTTAAATATAGTATTTTATAACTGAAGGTAACATAGTTACGTGATTGTGCTATAAAATGGCACTATGTGCCTAGATAATAATAATAATAATAATAATAATAATAATAATAATAATAATAATAATAATAATAATAATAATAATACTGCCACTTTAACAATAACCATGCGAGAAAGATTATTTTGTACACTTTTACCAACTCATCAACTAATTTAAGTCTTACATTTTGAACCATTTAAAACAAGTCATCTATGCGGAAACTGTCAAATTAAATTTAACAGTATTCCTGAGTTTAACAAATTTAATTCAATAGAAATTCCTGAGGCCCCTAAATAGTGGCTTAGTGTGTGCGTTTAATATATATATATATATATATATATATATATATATATATATATATATATATATATATATATATATATATATATATATGCGCCTTGGGCTGGACCTGCATGTAACCGATGTGAAGTTATTTCCATCCTCTTCTGAAACGCTCTCACTCTGATCTGCTTCAGCTGGAGGAGCTTTCAAAGCACCATCAGGAGGAAACAGCTGAGAATATAATCAAGGTGAACTTTTACTTCATTTCAGTTCATGCTTGATGTATTATTTCTGCCTCTTGGATGGGTCACTTTTCTTCTTTGTTTCACTGAACAATAAAGGAAAACCAGAAGATCCTGGCGGCCCTACATAACAAAGACACCCAAATCGAGAGAGTAAGAATACTGCCATGAATAATTCTAGCTATGAAGAGTTAATGAGCTTCACTTTTAACATGACCGAGTTGATTTCATGAAAATGTTTATCTGAGCATCTTTCCATCAGCTGTCTGAGATGGAGTGTGACAAGAAAAAGAAGATAGAAAGACTTGCCGACATCATTGAGGTACCGATGACGAGTACGACTCTGTGACAGAATCTTTAAAAGCTGGATATGATCGTCCCCGTGACATTTCGGTGTTCGATTTTTCTGCAGGAACTCAGAGATGAAATTCACCTCCTGGAGAAAAATCTGACAGACATTCAGGAGGAACAGATCCTGTGAGTACCGACTTGTCAGCTCATAATGGGAGAATGAGTTTCTGAAGCTTTGGATTCTGCAATCAGCTGAGTTTGTCTCATCTTCCATCCTGTTTTTCTTTGGTTTTACAGAACGGTGGTGAAATATGAACCAGTCCCAGAGGTCCTACATTCAGTGGTAAAGATAATATACGACTACGAATCTACATGCATCAAGAAAATCCCCCCTTACTGAGATTATTTCTCTTGAATGGCCGTTTAAAATCGTAACCATGTATCACACTAAAACTTTAAAAGCTTCTTATATTAGTAGGTTGCTGTAATTCCTTCTTGTACTTTAGTACTACATGTGATCAATGTTTATAAATATATATTTGCCTGAGAATTAGAAAATTTTTTATTAGATTTGTTACAGCTTCGCATCAGTGTAAGTCAATTAAAATAAATTTAAAAGATTAACACAGCACATACGGTCTCAATCTGGAATTTTTGGGATGATTGGATTTTCTAAATGAGTTCCACTTCATAATTTCTCTTTGGCTTCACAATTTGACTAACATTTTAGCACTTATTGAACCTCTGGAGATTGTCACCATCCTCTTCATGGCCGTGGTGGGAAAAATAAGTAGCATCTTAAGTCAGATGCTTCTTCAAATTCACTGTAATACAGACTGCTAGAGGAGGTCCTTCCTGCCATCAGCATGTACAACATCTGAACGAGTTGGATTTAATTTCCCTTTGGGATCAATTAAGTATTTTTGAATTAAATTAATATTTTTTTTCTAAGACTGACAATCACACAAAAACCTGAAGATGGCAGTGCCACTGCTATTTGGCCTGAGTGTTTTAAAGTAGACCTGATGGACGTCCACATGACACCGCTAACATGTGAGGCTAATGCTCCAATCTGCTGCTGTCTTTGCAGGAAGAAGATGACTACAAGGATCACTTCATCTCTGTAACCTCTAGAGAATGGTACTTATATCCTACAATACAGACAAAAAAAATAAAATTAAACCCAAATCTAATTAAAATGACTAATTTTAATTTATTTTTTTAGTCCGGTCAGCTGGCCGAAGTATGGTGCTAGGATCCTGCAGAGAGGAGTCAAGGCACTAGGATACATAATCCTCTTTTTCGTCCTTTTTGTAGTCATTTTGTTATTCCTGGCGTCGAGCTTCAACGTTTCTGATTCGAACTGCAACTTGTGGTTGGTAGCATTTGAGTTTCTGGAGCCCTACGGAGAACTGAGATACAGTGTTGCTCCTGTTTTTTGATCCACAGACATGGTACAGGCCATGGGAATGGACAAAAAAAAAGAAGAAATGGGTTAAAATAAAACCGTAATAAAATTACAGCTTCAGTTGTCTGAGTGCTTTATTTGGTAGTAGAAGATTAATGCACACACAGAACGTGAGATACAGTGACCCAGGACTGATGCCGTTAAATGCTGTAAGAAAAACCACTGAGATTCTTAAACACCCTCACGTTTCCCACAGTGTGCTCAAAAGTCTGGTCTCTCTTCCACTTACTGTGTTTGGCCCCTCCTCCCTTCTTCCCTTCTCCTGCTTTTTCTTGAAGCCTGACACTGGTTTGTCCCTCCTTAAGTGCCTCCTGCCTTGTGGGCTTTGTCTGCTGTTCAGCTCATGGTCTGGATACAACACAGATGTTACCTATTTGATGCTCTTCAATCTTGAAAAAACTTGACTTATGTTACAGCCTTAATGCAAACTGTATTAACATTCTTTCTCAAAATTGTTCACACAAATATCCCATTATGACAATGTGGTTTTCTTTTCTTTCTTTTTTTTTCTTGCTAATTTATTAAAAATAGAAAACCAAAACATCAAATTTACATATTGTTTACAAATTACCAGTGGTGTGATTAGTCCGCACTCCCAGCTTTTTCTAAAAACATGAACAAACAATGCTTAGCCTGGAAGGGTGGAGGGGGTGAATAAAGCTTGGCGGGCTGCCAGGCTTATAATACGCTCAGGAAAACCCTGTTATTTAGTTGTTGCTGAAATACTGCTATAATAACAAACTGGTAAACCTCCATCCATTCATTATCTAAACATGTTTATTCCTGCAGGATCATAAGGGGAGCTGGTGCCTGTCTCCAGTAGTCATCGGGCAAAAGGCGGGGTTGCCACAGGGCTACTAACGAACAATAGCAATGAAATAATAACAGTAGTGATAATAAATAGCTACTCAAGATTGGGGTCACAAATAACCAGTGTGGTAAAAGTTATTCATATCTTCAAAAGTGTCATTCGGTAAATAATGACACTTTTCATACAAAGTTGCTCTAAAAGTTGCATTGAAAGTCCACTAAAAGCGCCAACTTTGTACTAAAGTGTCATTATTTACAGAATCATGGAAAGTTGGCACTTTCAATGAACTTTTAATGGAACTTTTAGAGCAACTTTGTATGAAAAGTGTCATTATTTACCAAATGACACGTCATGACAGGTGTAGACATTCATAAAGACTCCTTCATGTTCATGACAGATGTTATGTCATGTTTATGACAGTGTCATGTCAGTCTTATGCACACCCCTTCAAATAAAGTGTTACCATTTATTTATGAACGCTACAAAAGTACCTCTAGTTGTTTTGTGCTGCTAATGTGATCATTGTGAAAAATGATCACAGTGACCTAATATAATATAAATATAAATCATCACAGCGACCTAATATAACATGCTCCTAATAGAGCATGTTATATTAGGATGTCATAAATATGAAAAGGAGAAAAGATATATGAGGAGAGAGTTTGAAAGTATTAAGGAAAAGGTTAGTTTATTAGATATTTTGAGGAAGAATTTGGGGGGTAAACATACAAATAACTATTTGATTTTTAAAGAAAACTAAACTTTTTCACAGAATTTGATTATAGTAAGTGTGTTTGTGAATGTGTGTATGATATAGATGGCTAGAATACAAAGTTATGTATAAGTATGCATATTTGAATATGTGTGTGTATATATGTGTATTTATATGTATAGGTAGGATTTATTGATTTATTTATTGATTGATTTATTTATTAAAAAAAATTCTGGTAGAATATCTATCTATCTATCTATCTATCTATCTAGATAGATAGCAGTAATGCTAACAGTTTGTTGCCAACCGCCAGTAAAACCAAGAAGAACCAGCTACGAGCAGCAGGGGGCAGCATGGGGGAAGTCAGCTCCTGCTAAACTCCAGAAGAAGAATCTGCACGATGCAACTTCTTCCATGCTTTCAGTCCCGCTCATAGAGTTTCAGGTATGAAACTTTTTCTCTGTAAATAAGTTCGGCTTACAGTTAACGTTTTGAATCTTTGTAAAGACGATCATACGTCAGAGGCGTTCCGGTGTATGTAGTCTGGAAGCTAACTAGGCTAACTAGGCACGGCTAGTTTCTGTTTCAGCTTCCAAATCAGGAGCTGCTTGTTCATTCATGGACTAATCCAATCCTTAATAAGTGTGCTGCTCTGTGTTATCAAATCTGAAATGACCTGAAGCGATGAGAGTTGTAGTTATCTTCAATTAACTGTGACGAACCCCATTCATTAACAGAATCTGCAAGTGGAAATGATAAAATCACTTAATACATTTCACCTTCAGTCATAATTTAGCAGTGTTTACCCCCAGCTGTTTAGTTTTCTGTTGGTGTCGAACAAACTAGTTCAGGTTTGAAGAAACAAAGTATTACAGTTTATGACCTGGAACATGTCGAGAAACTAGATATTTTCTACCTGCTGCTCGTTGTTATCTCGTCTCCCCAGCTCCGTTAATGTCGTGTGTAAAAAGTGAAGCCATAAAGACCACTGTTCAACTGTTCAACTTCACAATCGACCAGAGTTTTATTCGAACAATCGAAATGTATAAAATCACATCAACAGCTCATCATAATCATCAGAAACCAAAGCCGCAAAGAAGAAATTAATTACCTTAGAAAAATGCAAAAATACGAAGACCCTAAAACAGCTGATCTGAGCTGTTTTAGCTAAATTACTTTTACATCAAGGCGTGTTTCCGCTGTCTGGTGCGGTCTAGCGTTCAGTTTAGAGGTGGACTCAATTTCAAACAGCCCGTAATGACGTGTTGCTGTTTTTCTCGCCAGAGACCATGCAGGTATTTACCAAGGCCAAAGGATGAATCTGTCCACTGTCTAAGCTGTCCTCCCTGCGCACTATCCCAGGGTATGAACAATAGATGTGTTCATTTTCATACTGAAACATTTTACTCAAGAAAGCGGGACCACAGTTGATCAGCTGTCTGTGTTTTTCATCCCTACAAACCGGTTCCTGAACCGCACAGAGCTCTCCTGACTTCTGACCTCTGACCCAGGGCATCAAACAGCAGAGTTTGATTGGAAAAATTAGCACACGTTTCATATGATATCTTCAAACTCAAAGGAATGTAGGAACATTGAGTATCTGGAGTAGAATTGAAGCGTTTCAAACTTTTATCAGATAAATAAAGGATTGATTTATTTTACTGTCTAACAGGAAACAGGAGACTTGTCCAGTGTGACCTGGAACCCCTGGAGTGGAGCTGTTTGGGGCCACTATTTGGTTGTTTTGGGCAGCGCTTACGTGGCGTTCCTGTTGCCTCCCTGAAGTTGCAGCTTGATCAAAAGCTGCCTGTAACGTAGACCTGAGCGTGTTCCTGTAACTGTCTGCAGGCTGAACATGGATGCGCTCTATGGTCCCCTGGGCGTCGCTGCCGCCGGTCTGGGCTGCGGACTCTTCCTCGGCTGGCACCTGCGGACCTGTCTCGGCCCCGCGTCCAAGAGCCCCATGAAGTCGGAGGAGAAAGGCTCCGCCGAGGACAGCGTGATGGGAGAAGGCGGGGAGTTCAAGATGGTGCTGGTGGTCCGGAATGACCTGAAGATGGGCAAAGGGAAGGTGGCGGCCCAGTGCTCCCACGCCGCAGTGAGCGCTTACAAGCAGGTTCAGCGCAGGAGCCCCGAGCTGCTCAGGCAGTGGGAGTACTGCGGCCAGCCGAAGGTGGTGGTGAAGGCGCCAGACGAGGACACCCTGATGAACCTGCTGGGCCGGGCCAGGGAGGTGGGACTCACCGTCAGCCTCATCCAGGACGCAGGAAGGACTCAAATCGCGCCCGGCTCTCGCACCGTGCTGGGCATTGGCCCCGGTCCGGCCACGCTGGTGGACAGCGTCACCGGAGACTTGAAGCTCTACTAAAGTTTTGTTCATATATATATATATATTCATTTTTAGGACAAGATTTCATCAAAACTCTTATGAATTGGAATAATGATCTGTGCTGAAGATACTTTTTACGCAGCACCTCTCTGAGTAAAGCAGAAAGTGTAAGAATCGATTTGTTTTGTTTCTGATCGTAGTTTTCAACATTTGAGTCGTTCTGAACCTAGACGGTGAAGTCGGTACTGGCATTGCATGTCGTTTCTACGACAGGATGTGATTACAGATGTTTGTTAAATAAAATAATGGGCTCAGCATACAGTCATTTGTCTTGCCAAAGTCGCACAGATCCAGATCCGATACCAGTCCAGACATGAGGCTGAGGATATTTTTCAAAGATTATAAGTTGTCTTTTTTCAGTCATGTAACATTTGTGGCTTATGAGTTTTAACAGGGCAGAATTTGGGCAAGAACAAGAATGGATCTTTGGATAATTATGGTTGCGCAACATTAGTTGACTCTTACTACTGAAAATAAAATAACCAAAGAAACCTCTGTAAACTATGGGAGACTATTTGGGCCACTGGGAAAATAATCAGGTTAACTCAAAGCAAAAATGCACAGAGGAGATATAAATGGTGGCTTTACCCAAACATTTTGTCTACAGTGACATGAAATCAAAGCTTTAAGATTAAGGTGACAACCATTTTTTACTTCCAGTACATTCCCAAATGTACCAGCAGAGGGCGCCAGATCCCTATATTTATATTTTTATGGAGGTAGATGGAGAAAAAGTTTTGTGCGCCATTCTAGGATTAGCTCATTTATTACAGTCATTTCAAAAGTTAAACTCATTAAGCGGTGATGCATATCAAGCGTTTCTGTTAAGAATGTATCTTGGAGATGAAAACTCAAATATTTATCAGAAAAAGATACAAGAGTAATACTTAAGTATGATCTAAAAATATCAGGAAAATTGCTAACTCCCATAGAAACGACGAATCACAAAAACGTAAATTCTGAAGAAGCTGGTTGTTCACGACACACTGTACCCACGCACGATTATTGGAGAGTTGAGTGGAAGGAAAAAAGTGCCATAGAAAACCCGCACAAGCAATAACTTTTGAGAAAACTGAAGCAACGCCAATTCCAGTTTGAGACAAAATTCACAAGAGTTTTAAGACTCTTAAAACCAAACGCAGCCATTTATCTAGACCTTTTAGAGCACTTCCTGCTTCTTCCTACTGATTAGTTTTATCATGCTGATCATTTCCCAGCAAGACTTGGCACCTTTCCACACCATCAAGGCACCAAATACTGCCCAAGTGACCATGATGATGTCCTCTATTGGCCACCATAGCGATTTGACCAGAACCTTAAGGAGAACCTATAGGGTACTGGGGAAAAATAACAAAATGCAACACCAAACCCAACAACACAGCTATCACAGCAACATGGACTTCCTGCACACATCAGGCTGATTTCCTCCATGCCACATCGATGAAGTAATTCATGCAAACTTTGAATAAAATACTGAACAGTTTCCAGTAGCTCAACAATGCACAAGTGATTTTTGGGTTTTCATAAGCCGCAAACCAGAATTATCTCCATTTGAAACTCGGTAAGCTTGAGTATTATAAGGCAATAATCAGATGCATAAGTAATCCCTAGTTTGGGGTCATGAGCACATTGCTAGAATCACACCAAATATTAGCTATGGAAGGAAACACACTGGTTAGAAAAACTAAAAACCAGGACACCACTCTTGACAAACAAAGCCTTTATTTAATTTTTTTAAGTGGAAACAAAACTGCTGTTTCATTCATTATGATCCTGATTATGCACAATCAAGTATCGTAAGTGCACAATTTAAATCTAAGGTAATTTAGATAAGAATATAAGGAGTTAATGATTGATTTTTCTGTATACAAGCAAGCCTTTAGTAAAAATGTCAACCCCCCCAACGTTTTGACATAGTTTCAGATTTGGATGAGTAGGTCAACTGAAAACATTAAATGAAACACCACAACGGGACACAAGAAAGTGTGGAGCAAAAGGGAAAAAAAAAAAAAAGTCTCCTGCAGGATCGGCAACAGTGACCAAACTGATGCAAACCAGAGTAGGACAGGGGCATGTTAGTCACATACAGGTCTGCAGTCCCTCCTGAGGCAGAATGGTCCCGTGTTAAAGCAGTGTGTAAAGCACATGGAAATGTTTTCTGAGAAGAACTGAGTTTAGAGACTTCTGCATAGGCTTTTGCTGGAAAGAATCAAACTTTCCTGTACATCGTATGTAAAATAGTCTTAGATTTTCTTCAACCAAACAGCCCTGAAGAGGGAGCATGGGGACCAGTAAAACGTAGTGTTTCAGGATTATGGTCGTGAAAGCAGCAGTCTGATGTTGCGAGAAAAAAAAAACAAAAATAAACACACGAAGCAAGTTTTGGTGTCTGAATATACTACAATTCAACGCATTGTACAGTGGGACAAAAACGAAGCTGCTCACACGAGGACAGGAAAAAGATTCTACATTATCTTCTCACTATAGAGTGCAAAATCAGATGCTTCACAACAGACCATAAATCTGAGAGAAGAGAACTTTCTCTCCTCGCAAGCCCACCCATTGTACATTAACCATGTCCCCATTCAAATAAAATACAAGAAAATTAATCTAGTCAATACGGAATGTGAGGAAATTAATCTGATTTAATCTTTTTTGACAAACTGGAAAAAAAAAAACTGAGTCCTTCATGACAGTTTCAAAGGAAAAGTAAAAAAAAGAAAAAAGTAATAGTTTGTCAGTATCATCTCCCCACTCCCAGTAGAGGGCAGAGAGGCGATAAAGGTGTGGTGAAGGACTGTTGGGAGACGGATGGAGCTTGGATGTGGACAGACAGGAGGCGGGGGGGGGGTCTTCACATGCCGTAGCCGAAGCCTGGCTGAGCTGCTGGCTGGGTGTACCCTGCAGGGGCCTGGTAGCCGTAGCCATAAGCTTGCTGTGGGGCCACGGGGACGCTGGGGCCTGCTGTCAGCATCAGCTGAGGTGTTCCTGGAAAACAAAAAACAAATATCTAAACCAGTTCAGTTTATCACATACTAGCCATCTTTTTTTTACTCTAACTTGTTTTATTCATTTTAAATTTCAGGGTTCCCCCAGTGTATTAAGCCTGGCAGGCCACCAGGCTTTACTTGTCCCACCAGGCTAAGAGTCATTTGTTGATTTTAAATGGTGTTTTTAATTCACCAGTAACGAGACATTAAGCTAGGTTCATAATTTGGGTTTAAATTATGATGCTTGCTTGTGCACCTCTGAATTTTTGTATCTTAACATTTCTAAACAAAAACACAGTGGGCTGCTGGGAGTCCACCAGTCTTTCCAGGTTTCCTGAGGGAAAGCCTGAATTTTAATTGAAAATCCTGGATAAGAAAGACTAGCAGGAGATGAGTAAGGCGCTCGTGTCGACAGGGATGACAGCCGTTACCGTAGACGATGGGTTGTGTCTCTGTTGCCTGCTCCTCCTCTTTTCTTAGGGATTCTGAGGTTTCAAGCTTGTCGACCTGCATTGCAGAGAAAACATTTAGTGCCAAGTCTAAATGCTTTGCATATTTATACAAAAAACATGCTAGAAATAGGAAAATAAGTCTATATAAAGCAAATATTTTAGATAATTTGTATTGTCCTCCAGGCTCCGTCTCAATTTTTAGATCGGTTCTCAGATTCCTCTGATTTGGTGTTAAATACTGATAAGCTCATAGTGACGGATTTTAACAGTCATGCAGACACAGTAACCTTTATTACGTTACGACTAAACTGACTTTACTTAAATATCCAGACATTTTGTCTGCAGAAATAAAGCAGAGTGTGAACAGTTTTCCCATTGTTGCTCAATGTAACGAAGAACTTGATATACAATAGTTCAAACCTTGGTGAAATGGAGGCAGGAATTGGTGAAGCAGAACCTAAAGTCATGCATTTTTGTTCAACTTTAACAGCAAAGCTTCTAAGAGTCTGTGCCAGTCTCCTTTTCTGGTGGATAAAACACCAAGTACAGATGTCCAACCACCACAACAGGCCAAATATTTTCCAAACTGCCTGACACATGGAAAAATTTGTCATGGAAAAAAAAAAATCTTCAAGCAGCAAGTCGGATGCAGCAAAAAGCAAAACGTGTCCTGAGAAGACAAGCAGCAGCACAAGCAGTACGATCCACTAAACATCTTCACATCCACATTCAGCTGGTCCATGCCCATTAACAGATGCTGGCCGTCACTGGAGGCAGCCCCATGCTGGGTGAGACACACTGCTGCTCATATCAACACTGCAGTGTGGTGAGGCCAGCTGTCCAGGTGCTTCCAACTGTCTACTGCTACGTCTCAACAAGACATGCATCCTAGTTAGCAGTAGACCCATGTTAAAACCTCCCATTAGCCTTTACTCAAATCACTGGGAGAAAAACTCTTCAGGCTTTCTAGAATTAAAAATCACACCTTAAATAGATAAACTGTTAAAGTGAATTACGTCCTGCTTTTTTTTTTATGTACTCCACTACAGCTCTGAGGTTTTCTTCGGAGACTGAAGCATGTCTTCAAACACTGCAGTGACTAACCCTAGGTGATGATGTAACATGTTAAAGCTAAAACCATGCACACTAAGGGCTGCAATCTCCCGAGCAAAAAACCGTGTTCAGCTTTCACCTTTTCCTTAACCGCTTCAACCTGTGAGGGGAAAAGGCGCGGCACAGGAGAGCAGGATTAAGTATCGCCTTTCATTTAAAGACAGCCGTTCTGACATGTTAAAAAGGTGGTTAAGAGATGCACCAATCAGGATTTTATTTTTATGACCTCATCTCCCAATTCTAACCTTTTGACAGATTTAAATCAAATAAAATTTAGCAACAAAAACATGGGAGTTTTGTCTTAAAGCATTTTAGAAATAGAAAAAAAAACTATTTGTTCTTGACCTACCAATATTAGATAAGAGTGCATCAAAGTTAAATTGTCCCACGCTGAGAACCTGATCCGATTGGTGCATCTCGATTTTTAATTTTTTTTTTTTAAAACTGCATTTGATAAATGCAGAGGTCTTCCCTCATACCTTGGAGAGGTACTCCCTCATGACCTGAATGAAGTATGGCATAGAAAAGTCCATGATGTTGTGCCTCCAGGCGGTCTCCAGCACCACGTCGGGCCGCAGCAGGTCGTAGCAGGAGAAAAGGCAGGCGGCGAAACACTCCCTCTTGTTTTCCTGCAGGAACCAGGCCAGCAGCTCCTCTGCCAGCTCCACGTCTTTGGACTCTGACGCGTACTGCATGGCATCCTA